ATGATTAGTAATATGATGATAGAAAAAAAAATTGAATGTTTGTTTATAGTAGAAGCATAATGAACATGAAAGATATTTGATTAAAAATCAAAGAATTTCATTAAAAAGAAATTTGTGATTGTTGTTTTTTGGATCGGAAGAATTGAAAACAAAAATAAATATCGTCAATGTTTTTTTTTTGAATGCTTAATCTTAATATGAGAGATATGAGTTGCCTCTCTTATGTGATGAATGTTTTTATTTTTTGACTAATACATTGTTTTTGGAAACTAACAATGTTAACACAATCATGGGCGGCATAAAAGCAATTTTTCTTAGAGAAGTAACAACATTTGGAATGGATCTATTCTATCTTTTCTTTTCCAATAGTAGACATTTTTGCTGCTCGAATTTAATGTGCCTCAAATACATACTATATGAAAGCTTGAGTATTCAATCATCTGAAATGGCATTCTGAACTTTAAATGAATGTAACAATTCTCATTGAAAAACAAAAACTTACTCGAAACAATTTAGTAAAAACTCAAATATTTCTATCATCGTCTTCTGGTCACTGTCTATTGTATTCTCGCTTTGATATTGATGTAAAAGGTTGTTTGAAATTGGCGTAATTTTAGACTAAACAATCAATTAGAAAGATGAAGGTACTGTCATATTCGGATTGTTTAACTATTTAATGTTAGTAACTAGTTGATCATCTCTAGGAATGTGAAGTAATAAGGAAGTTTTGTTTTTTTTTCAACATTTTTTTGTAAATTTTGTTGAAAAGAAAACAAAAACAAACTAGAAAGGGTAGCTTTAGTTTTATTTCTAACAAACAGGAAAAAAGATTATTCATTGCTTTTCATCAATTAAATATTGGTCAATCAAACTTCAATTCTTTTCATCAATATCGTTTAGTATTGTATAGTCAATCTTATAGAAATAGGAGCGAATTTACGATTACACTATTGTTTCTAATCCAACTGTAAATTTTCAAGATCGCTGATTGTGGTAGGAAAGAGTGTTCAAAAAGGTTGATGATGTATTTCTTAAATAATCACATGTCGGATATATATATGACGGGAAGTGTATTCATGAATATAACAATAAACAAAATCACAAGACTATGTTCAATTCTCTTACATGAACTACAGAGCCTTATTGAATGCATATATGCTGGATTTAGTAGTTTTACTCTAGTATAATCAGGGGGCGTGGAAAATTCAGGGGAACCATAGATATAGAGTGTCCCATAAGTAAGGTAACAGAGATTTTTTTTCAATTTCTTTCTTATAGGTCGTCAGTTAGGTTTCATATTTATATCACAGATCGTAGGTGACATAAGTGAAAGATCCAGCATATGAACAATATCTTGATTTATTATAATTTTTTCAAAAGGGTGCAAACATAAGATATTCAATAAAAGCAAACACGTCTGAGTTCTAGCAAAACTTGATTAAAGCTACATAAAAAGACAATCACACTGACAAAAATTGTTTAATGCGTTCACCCTTTAAGTATTACCAGAGTAGATAGAATGAAATATGTGTTGACAGCAAAAACTATAACTGCTGCATATGATTCATTTTCTTGGTTATTCTGTATTTGTACGCTTTTGAAAAATTTTTAGTACACCAAGAAATGATTCATATACTACATCTGTGACTTACATCACCTGGTATATGTGGTATAAATATGAGACCTAACTGATGATCTATAGGAAAGAAATCGAAAAAATGTTTTGCTAACTTACTTATGGGACACCCTGTATGGGATATATTCTTGTGCCTATCAACAACACGTCAACACTCACATACTTGCTCTTCTACCGTGTCAATGAAATCAATTAGTGGATACAGTGTTCGAATGAAAGAAAAAAAAATGAAAGACTACTCTCTCCTTGTTGTCTTTACGAAAACACAAGGATTCTTGTATTAAGGAATTAGCAGCTAATTGATGATTACCTTTAGCTGAATAATAATTTAAGAAGAGTTTGCATCAAGATAGACGAAAACCTCAGAAAGACTATATTTGACTCGATTATGTAAAACAAAAAATAATCTCTATTAGGAATAGACACCAGATGAAACCAAAAAAAAGCATATCACCAATTATTAAGAAGAAACGAGATATTTTAATCAAGTGAGATGAACAAAAACTATAAGAATAACATCTGTAAGTTTACCAAGTGGAGAAAGTATGTGTCTTGTAGAATATATAGTGAAAACGAAAGAATATTTTTTTTTGACACATCCATGTGAAAAATATGATGTGTAAATGAATGAAATATTAAAAATTATTATTTTAAAATGAAGTATATGCAAAAAAGAGAATGATAAAGTGACAAGCCTATATGAGGCAAAGATTGTATGGATTGAGAAGAACAAAAATCAAAAGCTGAGAGGAACACAAGAGACTCTATTCTTGAAGTTTTTGAAGCCTATTCGAGTTTCGTGAAGTCTCAAGACGTTTATTATGATTGCTCACAGTCGTAGGAAGTGTTCGAAATACTTTTGAAACCTTGAGCTCTTGAAGTCAAAACGCATGATGTTTCCTCTCGGTTGGATGTAACTATAGATACTTACTACATATAGATACATGTATATTACTTACATATGTATTTATTTATGTCTTATCGAATGCAAAAGTTCATTGACTTTGTGAGAATACAAATGGAAAGAATAGTGAGAGGGCTTGTATTTTATTGCGTCGATTGGATGTTTATGATGGAAATGTATAGATACGCCATTGAAAATAAACTCTATAACAAAATCAAAAGGATCAGAATATGTCATGATAAACATCTCTCAGAACGACTTGAATGAATTTGTAACCAATTCTGATAGATTAATGCGAGTAAACCATCGAGATTAGCATAAGATAGAAGCTTCATACTCTTTTTAAACCAATATTAATTAAAGAATTTCTGAAAAATGTTCACCTGTAAGTAAAATACTCAACTCTTTCTCTGCAGTTTCAGAATAATTTAATCTTATACAAAAACTCATTAACCCTTTACCATAGATCGTAAAGAAATCAGTAAACTCTTGAGCATAGAATAATAAATTCTTTTGTTTTAGATTCCAAGATAATACATATCTTTCTAGTAGTTGTTACTCCTTGTTTTGATAAATCCTTGAAGGATTAGGATGTCGGTATAATTTGTTATAGAGCATATAATAAATTGTAAATAGAATACTAGTTTATTATTCTGTGTTTTCTTTTGGAGTGTAAAACATTATACAAGTAGTTGATTAGGCATACTTTAATGAATCATTTCGATTAATTGATCAAACGTAATGATTTTAGTATCTTGAAGTTTTGTTCGCAAACTCTTGGCTTACAATATCGTACAACTTGATTTCATAGCAACCATCAGTTGAGATTTGATCCCGCAATCAACAATCTCACAACCTATAAACAAGAAACGAGTGAGGCAATGCGCTTGTTTAGACTGTATATTTATTGATTTTCATCTAGACGATACAGCGAGGTACAAAGAAAGACAACGATAAACTTGATTTATTTGTCGGTTTGTTTCTATTCGTATTTCTTCTGTTCATTTCGAAAGCACAAAAAAAATAGAGTACCTGCGACGAATGTCATAATCGACAATGATGCATACATCCACATCAATTTTGGATCGACGGTCACTGGAAGAAGTGCAAAATTCAAGGCACTACTGATCGCCGACGTAAAGAGGAAAAGTGACATGACGACAGATTTCATCGATGATGGTGCGTGTGTAAAGGCGTACTCCAAACCAGTAATGGACGCGAAAATTTCAGAGATAGCAATGAAAAAATACGATGGAATTTGCCAAGCAGCAGTAATATTATTGAATTTTTGACAGGCCAAACACGGTTTGATCCTATAGTCATAGTTCGGACCAGTCGAATAAATTAAATGTTGAACAAATGCTGTCCATGCCATGGCGATGGAAACACAAAAGAAACCACATGTAATACGAGAGATCGAGGCAAAATTAATGTTAGATCGTCGTAAAGTAGGATAGATCAGTATGTCAAAGACCGGAATGAAAATAAGTAGAACAATCGGATCAATATTTTGTAAGACATCATTGGGTAGAGGACCTAGAAAGCAATTTATGAATCGCAGATCGAATGACGGTCAGTTTTCTTGGATATTCCAACAGAAATCACGAACTTACCGATATTCATTTGTGCAGCTCGCGATATCATATTGTTCACCAATTGGTTGTAACAAAGCCAATAAAATGGATAGAAAGCAAAGACACGACAAGCACTCAATGCTTGCTTGAGATCTTCAATAAATTGGTTGTCGTTTGATTTCATTACTGTCTGATTGTCATCATGAACAGTTGGTGATAGATTTTCTTTTGCGTAATCCAAAAAATGTTGGCGATTATCTTGTTTACCTAGCCGCCATCGCATTCGAATGGCTCTTATTATCACATTGCACGCACGAATGATCAATGAACCGTTTGGAGCTTTTCGAATGTATTGATGACGACCAATAAGTAGAACAACGATGGAACCAGTGAATACAACCATGGGTAGAAGATAGGCGAGCCAAAATGAATGATATTTTTCGATATTTGTGGTAATAATCGATGACAGTGCTCCCAAATTAATGGTCCAATAGAACCAATTGAACATTGACTGTACTGTTCTACAAAAAACAGACAACGCAATCTGAGAAATGTAAAAATAAATATTTAATGGACTCACATTTTTGGATCGATAATTTTCTTTTCGCCTTTAATTTCTACAAAGAAACAATAAGATTGATCTTCTCCTGCAAAGGATCTTGTTGTTACCTTTGACAATAGGTTTTGTTCTGGTATACTGTTCAGCCGTCAGTAGACTAACATTACTCTTGACACCACCAGTGCCAAAACCCAAGATGATCATCGACACGATCAAACCAGGAAAGGCAAGACCTATTCGAATGGAAAGCGATGTACTGCTCAGGACTAGGAAGAGAAGACCGATCATGTAAGCCACACATGTGAGGAAAATTGTCTTGTATTTGCCTCAGAATTGATCGGCTAGAATTGCACCAACGATGGGCGTCAGATAACATAAAAACCCAAAAAACGTTGTCAATAAGGTAGCAGTGCGTTGTCCACGACCAAGGGCACCCGACTGTTTATCATTTGGACCAGGTACTGGAAATTGAATATAATTCTGAAAGACACCAGATAGCCCTATGAAGGCGAAACGTTCACAAAATTCACAAACAAGAATCAGCCGAGCCATAAACGGTATATGATCACAAATGCGTTTCAATGTAGTTAATTCTTCAGCTGTTGGAGCGATTTCGTCGGTGTCTTCAGCTTGCTCAATACCTTTCGCTTCAGCAATGCGTGCGCCGCTCCATTCAATATCGTCAATCATACTCATTTTGTAATGACTGTCTGTATTGTTGGTTTCGAGTCAAAAGTGTATTTACGATATTCAAAAGCGCTTATATCATTTTTCTTTAGAACATATTCAAGATAAGACCCTTTTTTGATTTCTTCTTGTGTAGCTCGCTTCATATTGTTTGTTTTTATCTTCGCTCGTTAAGAATGATTCATTCGATAATAAACAACTTCTTTTCACACATCATATGAGAGATTGTGTATTTTCTAGAGAAGTGTTTCAAAATGTATTTGAAAATACCAGAGTAGAACTGATTCTGTTAATCTCTACCGTAAATTCTAAGAATAGATGCGTTTAAAAATTATATATAACTATTTAATTATTTCAATAGCTGACTTGTTGATAAGCAAATTTAGTTAATTCTTTTTTCGTGTAACTAGCTGTGGGAAAGCTACTGCTGTTAAAACATTATAATAGCTATTGAAAAGATTTAACAACTATTCAGAAACTGTATATAGCTACTAAATAATTTGAATTGCTGATTTATTTAACTGATAAATTCTGTATACTTCTCTTTATTTATATATATATTTCAAATAATTACTACTTAACAATTATTTATAAGGCAGGATTCTTTTTTAGAAACCATTATTTCACATACTGAATAATTAATATGATTTTGACATAAGGAAAGATTTTTTTGTCGACTGCTCAATGCAGAACCTTACTTTTTTTTGGACTATTACAATAGTCAATATTCAATTTCAGCCGTGTTGAGAAAGGCTAAACGATATAATTGGAGGACGCTATCTCTTTCTTGTTCGAGCACATATTTTGAAAATTTTCAAATCCTTACTCGACAGAAATCAGTTGTAGTATAAAAGTATATGAATGTTATTTAAATAGGCGCGAAAATTTCTTTATTAGTACTAATATAGTATAACTAGGGTGGAATATTAAGTGGCAATTTGTTAAGGTACATTCAAAGTTGATGCTCCCTGTTATAATAAATAAATAGTTGGGTTCTACAGACTATGTTTCTAGTTTGAACAGCTTTTTCGAAAATATCAAGATTTTCCTTTTTTCTCAAGCCATTATTAAAAACATTTAAAAGCTTTTTATATTATTGAGTATAGAAATATCTGCTGAATCGGTTGTTGCAAAAATCATTCAATTATCTTGAAAATTAACTGAATAATTAGCGGTAGTTAGCGAATAATTCAATTTTGTCTTAATTAGGCTGTGACCCACCCTTCAATGCGCTCACTTCTTTTCTCAGCTTTTTTCTTATTGATGCTAAGGAATTGAATGTTTTTCTTCATCACATTCTGTCTTTTTCGAGATAATCTCAATGAAACTATTAAGTTTCTTATACATGACAGAAAAAAGAATAATTATCACTTTTCAAATAGTAATTTTCTTTTCTTTTTTCAATATTTTTTTTACATTCTTTAGGAGTGTAAACACTTAAGAAATTGTGTATGAGGCATTTATTTTCGTTACTCAAATCCAGGCAAAATTTTTAAAAGTTTAAAAACAGAAAAAAAATCGTCAAACATGAGAATAAAGAACTGATCTCATATGTTTATATTCAATTATGTTTAAATTTAGCTGCAATCTAGTTGAATATAAGAAGTTTTTGAGTTCACAAGTAAATTTCATTGACATCTGGTTTGTCTTAGCAAGCTTTGACCAAAACAAGGAAGGGACCTGTAGCTTATATTTATTTCTTTTCGTCTCTAAATTTAGTTCATAGATGATATTAAAAGTATGAATATATTATTTTGTTACGTTTTATTGATTTATGTTTCAATCAAAAACAATAAAAGACATTTTAGCTTACCTACTACCGGTGGTAAAATAATAGAGATCTTCTCTCGGAACTGGTTGCTCAAAAAATTAATATGTTGATTTTACTTGTTCATAAAAGCTTTTTCGAACATTAACTTTTTGACGCCTATGCTAAAGTTATTCGTACATACATTATAGAATATGAATTTGTGAAGATGAATATTCTGTCTACTTTAAAGTAACAAATAAGTGCTAGATTCTCTTAATCGAAATTAGAACTAAAGTTAATTTTCAAATAGAAAAAACAATTTCCTAGTTTTGTATCTGATTAAAAATGACATCTACCTAAAGTTTATTTTTCGCTAAAATTCAAATTTGCATGTAAGGTTTTGTTCAAATTTGTGATCCTTTATTTAATTGAATCCAACTGTGTTTGATTTGCACTTACAATTATCAGCTTACATGAATATTGTCTCTAACATATACTTGTTTGCGATACTCACACGCAAAAGTTTCCGAGAATTTTTTTTGTAATAAAAGGAGCAGTATTCGAACAATAGTTGTAGGTATAGCACAAGTTTTTATATTTTTGATCAATACGACATTATAATTGAGCTATTACAGATTATGATTTAGTGATAATACCATAATTTTGATTGAAGGTCATTCATAAGAAAAGCATAATTCTATTTGCGATAAACCGCTGGAAGTTATTGGACCATTCATCAAAAAAATTTTTTTTTTGTGACAGAAATACAAAGGAATTTTCAAGTTCACACAAGGGAAAAGTTCATTTACTACAACTATTTCATTTTCTATTCATTTCCAATAGTCTATTCTAATTATGCACCATGCTCTTTAATTAAGACGAATTTAATTACTCAGAAACCATTGCTAATTATTCATTTAATTTCAAGATTATTGAATAATTGTTTGCATCGCTTGATTCAGCAGGCATTTATCTATTTAATAATATAAAATATTTAAGTTTCCTTAAAGTTTGCTTGAAAAAAAAAGGAAAACTTTCTCGAATTCAAAAAAGCTGTTCGAATTAGGAACATTGTCTACATTTATTAAGGAACCGATTACTTACTTTGAATTGGAATTCAATAAGTTTCCAAAAATAAAAGACTTATCAATTTTGTTGCTGCTCGAAAAAAACATAAGCGTTGAATTATTTACACATCTTTTATTGTTATAGGCTGAACGAAGATTCAGCTTTCTATTGAATTATATGCTTTTAGCCTAATTTTGATGAGACCCAATCTTTGAATATAATCACCATTACTTAAACAAACTTTGATCTGATTATCGACATTGTCTAAGTTCCGGCACATCATCTAACTTCTTGGTTAAAATGTGTATACCTGTTTCATCGTTTATGTATGAAATAAATTATTTCACATATGCATCAAAGGTGACTTTCAGTTTATTTTTTTTAAGAGTAAAGAAAACAAATGAATTTGAAAATTGAATATTTTATTCAAGAAACGACAGAATAAGTCGAATCATTAGAAATTATGAGAAGAAGCGCTGACGATGTTATGTCTATTGATAGCTAGAAGCGAATTAGTCAAGATTACCTAATCTTTTTAAATATCGCCACATGAAGAATTTGAATTACAAAGTAATTAGGAAAAAACAATGAATTTTAAAATGATTCAGTTTGTATGAATTTGTATCGATATTTTCGGTAGGGTTCAACAGAGTATACGAAAGTTAATTAGCCTGTGCAAAATCAAGGATGAGAGTGATGGTGATAACACACTCACAAATATATCGTAAGACATTGGTGAATTCAGATGGATCCTGACATATCCTGATAAACCTTTATGGAACATCATAAATTCTTATCGATTTGAATAAACTATTATAGATACAATTTGAGCTTCATACATTTTGGTAAAATCACTCAACTCATACATATCTTGACAGAGTCTTCAAATGAATGTTTTCTATAAAATGAATAGAAATTTGAATTAATATTTCAAATCGTTTCCATTACGAACTATTACGTGTATCTCAGGACATATTGTTCTAGTTCTGTAGAACAACTGAGCTTTCAAACTAACAAAACCCATGACGATCTACTTTTATTGGCGACAGTTCTCAGAGGCTGTTGATTATCTCGAAGATTTTATTCATCATTGATATTTTTCACTATTTCGTTCTTGTCATAAGATACTTGGGTGAGAAGCTCATCTATTATCCTCTAACATCAGAAGACCAATTGTCGATGTACCAAGAGAGAAAAAATATACTTCTATACTTCTCTATACTTTTTTACATGTAGATTTACTCCTATATAGTTTTAGGGATTTGTTTTACTTACGAGATAAAAGAAACATATCATCAGTTTCTCTTCAAAGTGTAGATCTTCATTTAACAAAGATAGTGAACAAATCATGAAGCCAAAATTTACAGTAGAAGATGAAGTACCAATGTTCATTTTACTATTAAATTTTTTTCCATTCAGATTGTGAAACGAAGAAATGTTACGTTATTTGACTTTTTCATAATAGCAAGCAGAAACCAAACGTAGAAAGAGAACTCATACGTATTTTAACTACGATGAAACTGAAAGAAACATGCTGAATATTTAACAGAAATACATACAAATATTCGTAAAAAATAACAATATTAGTGCATTGTAGCAAAACCAATAATATAAAAGTGACATAAAAAACGAATTAAAATAACCGATCATTGATAAGAAGTAAAAAAAACTTGAACAAAATAGTTTTCCATGACATATATATTTCCACCTTTTTGTAACTGAACTCGAAATATTTAATGCTGTTTATTTTCGTTTAATTTTCTATATCTTTGGTTTTTTAATAAATATTTTCAGCTAAAATAAGTTGTCTCACCTTCCGATAAACATTTCTAAACGTATCGAAGCTTCTGTATGTCTTTTGTACTTAAGAAACACAGAAATATGCTTTTCTCGTTGCGATTTACTCAAAAGTATCTTTACATGCTAAAGTAAATTTGACATGATACTAATATTTTTTGTTATCTTGTATACGTTGATATAAGCTATGTGCAAATGTTATCATTGTACTCAAAC